CGTGATCTCCTTATGGATTTACCGATTGTTGAAAAACTCAAACCGGCTATTTCTATGAATTGTGATAACCAGACTATGATTACGAAGGTTAACAGTTCTAAGGATAACATGAAGTCCACAGGGCATGTTAAGAGACGACTAAAATCTGTCAGAAAATTGAGAAACTCTGGAGTAATAGCGTTGGACTATGTTCACACGTCTAACAATCTGGCAGATCAGTTCACTAAGGGTCTATCACGCAATATGATAGAAAGTGCATCGAGAGAGATGTGTTTGAGACCCATATAAAATTTACTATAGTGGTAACATGTTCTATGTGATCGGAGATTCCGTGAAGTAGGATGGTGAAACAAGCTAGTAGTAAATTATGAGGAAAGATCTTTAGTAAGACTTATTTCTGATGCATATCTTTTCTTTCTGTACGGTAGGTTGATTTTTACCTTAATGTGTTTCAAGTGGCTTGCTAAAGCAAAGATATTGTCCAGCAGAACATCTTTTGAGGAACACACCTATATGAGTCAGACTGCTGGTCACAGTCTATGAGATTTGGGTGATCTCTAAATACTCATGAAAGGCACTGGAGTATGACTTATATGCTTCAAATAGAGGGGATATCTTTTGCTGCCTAGTATCAGCTAAGGACTTTAGTGACATTCATCTCACACAAAACTATTAATTCAAGGCTTAGTCCATTGTTCAGTTGTGACTGAGTGAAACTGTTGATCTAGATGGATATTCAACTTAACAGTCTCAATCGAAACACTGATATATAAAAAGGAATATGGTTCTGAGACTACTTTTGCCGGATACCATAAAAATGGGTACCCTAAGCAAGAACTGAAAAATGTGCTTAGACCTTGTAAATAACGAAACCAAAATACAACCGCAGGCAAACCCACCACATCCGAGGCCCGGCTGGACCACCCGGCCCACCTCGAACAAATATCTAGGCTCGACCGAGGCCCCACACTGCAAGGCCTCGGACGAGGTACCGATTCTCCCACTCACCCGAGGCCCCACGCCATGAGGCCTCGGACGAGCACCCAGTTACCGACTCGCTCGAGGCTGGCTCGGCGTCAACTCTGTCACCGCCGCCTTGACCGACTTCGCTAACGAGATGTCACATCCAACTAACACGTTCAACCACTCCCGCGACATCAGCCGCACGACGGCACGGTATAGCGGAGTGGCCAACGAGACATGAGTCACATCAACCCCATGCTATTCGAGACAGGACAGGGCGGGGGTTACCGGTCGCTGTGCTCGGCACTGTGCCCACGACGGACACATGTGCCATGCTGTGCTGCATAACCCCTGCTCATGCATGGAAAGTCACGTCCGGGTCCCTGTAGCCTCGGAAACGACGTGCGAGGCCAACTGCTCCCTCCGAGCCTCGGCTACCCGCTTCCAGGCTCTTGTAGCCTCGGGACTCGCACCCGCCGAGCCCCCACGACGGTCTAGCCTCTACATCGGCTAGGCCTCGGTTCTCTACGTTGTCAGCGCTCTGGGACCGGCACGTCGCCCGCAGTACGCGCCATGCCCTGCGTCGGGCTGCAGGAGCTTCTACGTCGTGCACAGGGCCTAGCTCCTGTAGCCTCGAAATCAGCATACCCGCGCCATCGCATCAACCCGGCCTCGGCACTCCGCGCCGGTCAAACATACAGTGACCAGCACACCTCCAACAGAAGAAGGCGCGCCTGCCACCACAGGAGCTCCCACGTCGCACGGGATCAAGCATGACCGGCGTGTCGCTCCAGTGTACGGAGGACAAGACCGCTCCACCGACCACACCGCCACAGTGACAAGCTGTAGGGCTCGGACATGCTGCCTCTGCCAAAAAAGAACGCCACGTAGCAAATACATATACCGCCCCTATGCCTCCCTTCGACTATAAAGGGGAGTGACCAGGGCCGCTCCTAGGCATCACACACACACACACCGGTACAAGCGACGGACAATAACACTCTGTAACACACACACTCCTTCACTGCAAGAGATCAACATCTCAAGCAACACACACGGCAATTCACAGAGACCTAGGGCTAGCTCCCTCTCTCGCCCAGCTTGTAAGCCCCTACTACAAGCACCTCGGTGCAAGGAATACAAGATCGCTCCCTCAGACTGGACGTATGGCACCTATTGCCTGAACCAGTATAAACCTTGTGTCTCTTTGCATCACCATCCGGGATTAGGAACACGCAATACACTTTCACTGGTCGGTTGAGGACCCCCCGGTCCAAAACACCGACAACTTTGTTACAAATCCTAAAGTTTGGTGGGGATTGTTGGATATATTATGGGCTTGACCCGTATAATATTTAATAAATCAAATAAAATTATATGGTACGTAACATTAAGCGTTGTATGGTTTAATATCGTATGGGATTTTGACAGAACGTTTACTCACCTTATTTGTTTAGAAATTATCCATCTTAATTGAGAAGCTGAGAAAATGACAAAGGAGTGACACACGCGCGCGCGCCGCCGCCGCCCAGACCATGGGCGTGGGCGTGGGCGCGGGCCGGGCCGAGGCCGTGGCCATGGTCGTGAGCCATGGCGAGGCGGGCGGGCGTGACCAGTTTTTTACCAATTAATCCACATAATTACGGGAGTTTCTCCCCTTTATGGTGGAGGCGAGTTGATTGCGCCTGTTACTGTCTCTTCGTATCTGCATCTCCTGGGCTCCTCCACTGGCTTTCTCCCTCCCTGCCGTAGGTATAAATCAGAAGTCCTCCGTCAGTCCAATGCTTCCGCTTCGCTTCCGAGAGACCACATCTCAGTCGCCCTTTGGGTTTCCCCGTCCCGTACCTCTGCGCGCACGGAGTAGCGGGAGAGCAGTTGCCTCCGGAACCCTCGTCTGCCTGTGAACTTACTGACCTACTGATGTTTTATTTCTAGATTAAATTGATCATAAAAATACCTAATTATCTGACAAGTAGCTCTAGCTGTTCCCCGAGGGCCGCCAAAGCCGAGATGCCCTCTCTGGGGGCTGGACCGTGGTCCGTGGTTTCCTTCTGAATGGACTGGACCAGGTGACGGCAAAGGTTCGGGGCGCAGGCACAGCTTCCGTGCTATGGTCCAAGCCCATCACGGCACGGCCTGTAGAATCAGATTCTCAAAGCCTACAAACTGGCAGCGCTCATTTGGTTCTGACGAATCCTAAGTTTCTAATGGGCTGCAGGTATTGTGTCGTTCCTCTCTTCTGGACCCAACAGACGTATTTGAACGTTTTCCTATCAAAACTTTTCTTTTTTGATTTGATGCCCTTTATTTACAACGGATTTAACACTCCGAATTGCTATAAAACAGCGTCTGTTTTTCCCCCAGAAGAACAGGTGATGTTTCTTGACCGTCAAATTGTAATCTAGAGTCATAGAACGTGCCCATGACTGAGAGTGCAGTATTCAAATAATTGTAGCCAAAACTTGGTAGAGGGTACATGTTTTACTCACTTGAAAACGAAAATAAAGCTCATATGACTCGTCGGTATATAAACAGGAAACTAGGATGCTCTCGTCCCCTCGACCAAACAACGACTGAGATCATCCATGTCAGAAAAAGTGGGCTCGACCTGTGCCTATGCCTTTACTACTAACTGAAAGCTTTCAACCAATAGTTTCAGGATGGAACTTGGGCCTTTTCGGTTCCGCTGCAAATCTTTTGATCAGCTACAACAAAAGAATAAATCACATGTTTGGTTAAAAAGATCATTTCCGACTAGAAGCGAAAACAATTAAACTGTTGGAGGACTAGGGATGAGAGTTCTTGAAGTCCCAAACCAAATCGAACTTTCAACTGAATAACCAATAGTTCCGTTGGTGTCACCGATAGCAGTCCTTTTGGTGGCGACGGTGGCTTCTAGGAGTATAGTCTATCGACAGCTCGCATTCGCTTAGCGTGCACAGAGAGCTCATGTGGTGGTTGTCGGCCATTCGGTCTGTTTGCTGGTTGGTTTCTGGACTGGTTTGGGTTAGCTGGTGCTGGTTTGTTGTGAGAGAAAAACACTGTTGGTTGGTTGGTTTGGGTTGGCTGAAACCAACAAGCGAACAGGGTGATTGACTGATCAAGAGTGACCGAGTGAGGATGATGATGGCGCAGAGACATGAACGACGAAACATGTTTGTGTCCTGTTCTGCACAAGGAAGACGTAAGCACTAAGCACTCGTGCGTGAGGAGGTGGTGGTCAAAGTCAAACCCCGGCGGGGAAGTACAGTGGGTGCCTACCATGTTTCAGTTTCACCACATAAATACACAAGGAAGAGAAGGCAATAATTTCGTATGAGGAGCATTTTAGTCATACATGGGAGATAATAAAGATAATAATTGCCCAGGTGGTCAGGCGAAATGGGGTAGTAGTTTGCACAGCCGTTAGCGGTCGAGTGTGAATCATGGATCGGCTTTAAGCAATCCGTGTGATCAGACACCGACGATCCGATTCGAGCCAATGATTGTACAGTGTTTACGGGGGAAAAGAAAAGCAAGTTTATATACAGAGAGTCAGAGATCGCCCAAAAAATTACAGCAACATCGAAGAACTCGACCGCTCAAATTAATTATGTACAGCTTGTAAAAATACAGGTCGGGCTTCCAGAACCAAATGGAGAAGAAGGAAAAAACAAATGGAAGAAGGAACACGGCCACTTGGAAACTAGCTGGTCACGAGCGGAGCTGCAGAAGGCCCTCCCGGGTTTGCCGCTGTGCACTGAAGTCTGAAGTGTTCTGGTTCTGGCTGGGGCTGCGCGGCGCACGCGGCACGACGACTTGCCGCCAGGGCGGGCGAATCAAGCAGCGATCCCCATGCCCGGCTCCAATCATGGCGCGTCGTCTCCATCCAAGCATCCCCGAGCGGATTCTCCTCGGAGCTCCGATGCACGGACCATGTATGTACTCTGACTTGACCGTGCAAAGTCAGAGGACCTGCTTGCTTCCCAGACTTCCGGCATTGCCCCGGAGCGACCGGCGGCGGCGTATCGGACGGCACGGGCGGGCGGCTTGGCCTGTCACGACTCGCACCGCAGGTCCACGTCCTTTCTGCCGCCGTCGCCGTCGCCGTCGGGGCTGCGGCCGGGCCTGACGGCCGGGGGCGGGGTCATGGAGATGGACAGGCGGCCGAACCCCCAGTGCCCCACCCGGTACATCTCCATCCACACCTTCTCCGCGTCGAGCCTGCCTGACGCTGACGACGAGTTGCTCGCCCTCGCAGCCCGCGTGGCCGCCTCTCCGCGAGCGTCCACCTCCAAACCCCACCACGCGCCTTTCGACGCGGCGTCGGCGGCGTCCAGCGCCTCCATCGCCCCGTGGCCGCCGGCGGCGGCGTCGGAGCGGCGGCACTTGGCCTTGGCGGCGGGGCCGTCCACGTCGCGCACCCGCTTCTTGTGCCGCAGCTCGCCCCGCCGCCGCCGCAGCCGCCGCAGGCACCGGCGCGCCAGGGCGAGCGGGGCCTTGACGAACGCCAGCCCCAGCAGGCTGACCACCGCGCAGGGGCAGCAGCCGAGCGCGATGGCGTCCGCCATCGTCACCGCCACGCAGGACCGGCACATCTGCGCCGTGCAGTCCGCCTGGTCCACCACCGGGACGGCCGCCGCGCCGGGCCCGTCGTGGTGGTAGAACCGCCCGCGCCGGCTCGCCTCCATCGCGCCACCGTCGGCGCCGCCGCCGCGACGAACACGAACCCCGGCGCGCCCGCCGCCGGTCAAGTCCTCATGCCGATGCCGATTGCGGTGCTGCCTGTCCATCGCGGGGAGGAGGAGAGGAGGAGGAGCGAGCCGTGAGCTGAAGCGCGACTGAAGAAATAGGCCAGACGGCCATGGCGTCACCGCATCACACACACACCACCGAATTCGCAGCGGGGTTTCGAGGGGGAGCGAGCGAGCAGCGGGAGGAGAACTGGCGAGTAAACGGGGGCAGTAATTATGTACTCAGAGTGGTGGACTGCGCGCTGTGTGTGAGGCCTAAGGGAAAGGTGTCGTTTTCCGGCACAGTGGCGGGCCGGGAACGCCGCCACATGTTGCGAATTGAGCCCCGGACATGGACACATGCGGGCAATGTGCAAAACACCCTAGAAATGGAAGGTTTTGGCAGATGGCGAGGCACCAAGTAGTGGCTTGGCTCGAGTAGACCAGACCAGACGGCCAAGACCAAGACGGAACCACTGCCACGGTGCCACCATTAGGACGCTACTGTCACGCCAGTGCCACTTACAACAAAAAAACACTTGATCTCAAAAGCAAGCCACAACACCTGCAAAAACTCGAGGCCGGGAGCTGCTCTGTGAGGCTGTCCACACGTGAGAAAAACAGCGGTAAATAAATCTTAAAAAGAAACCGTAGCAGTTACAGTAATAATCTGGCGAGTGACACCACACCAGGAAGACAGCTCGCGAGAGTAGTAACGGTTTACGGTTACGGGCCTCCAGGACTGCCGAAGCTGTTAGCCTATGGTAGGCGCCACCAGTCCAGTGTCCACCCTGCAGCTCTCTGCTCTGTTCTGCTCCCTCCTCTGCCGCTGCTTTTGGAGGAGACGGCACGTACTACGCGCTCTGCTCTGCTTGGCGTCGGGGGGCCGCGGCCGGCCGGGGGGACTTTTCGTCCTGGTCCAGGGGCCTGGGCACTGTGCGAACACGTTGGACGGGTACAACCTGGAACTGTAGAGCGCATCAGCACCCGACCATGCATGCTGGCCAGGCACAGGCAGCAGCAGCCAGCAGCCAGCAGCCAGCAGCGTGGCATGGATCTCTCGTCGCCCCCCGGCCGATTCCCTGCCTGGCCCAGCGCGGCCCGGCGTGGATTAAATTGCCGGGCTTTGGAAACGTTTAACTGTTCCTCCCTATATCTCATCATATGTTTGATACATACCTAGAGTATTAAATATAGACTAAAAAATAACTAAGTGTACAGATTGCGACTGCTGTGCGAGATAAAATTTTTAAACCTAATTAGTCCATTAATTGACAATGTGGCGCTACTGTCGGTGTTTCGGAACCGGGGGTCCTTAACCGACTAGTGAATTTGTGCTGCGTGCTCCCAATTCCGGATGGAGATGCAAAGAGACACAAGGTTTATACTGGTTCGGGCAAGGGATGCCCTACGTCCAGTCTGAGAAGGTGTTCTTGTATTCCTTGCACCGGGGTGCTCGTAGTAGGGGGTTACAAGCTAGGCGAGAGAGGGAATTCGTCCCAGATCTCTGTGAGGGGAGGTGATATGAATTACAGAACGATGTGTGTTGTTCGTGCGAGTATCTGTGATTCTATCTCTCGCCCCGAAGCGGTCTGGTTGCCTCCTTTTTATAGCCGCAGGGGGAGAACCAGAGTACATAAGAGAGCTACACGTGGAGCAAGGACTTTTCGATCACATATTTACTCCTCGAGCAAAGATGGCGTTGTCGTGGAAGTTCCGTAGATGTCTAATCGGTATGGTCTTCACTTGCAAGTAACATCTTTGCGCATTTATTGACTTGGTGGATTGCAGAGGCTCGGCGGCCTTCGTGGCTGGTCGTCTGCAGGGCCTGTCGTCATCTTAGGAGGCCTGTTTGTCGAGGCTGCGCTGTCTTAGAGGCTTGCCGTGCCGAGGCCTGAGAAGTGACCCAGTGCGGATCACGGGTCTCGGCACCATCGCGGAATAGAATAGTCAGAGACGATGCGCCCTCTGGGATCTGATACTGTGTTGTCGGTGGGGATGGTAAAAAAGGTGATCTCGATTGTTGTCCGTCGCTCTGCTGCGGCCTTGCTTGCCGATCGTGGCTTACGTAGTGGGTGCGGCCGGCGCATGAATCGGATGTGACACCGCCGGAGAGACTTTTGAGGCCGAGGCGACGAGGTTGTGGGATTTGAGCCCGGCCTCGGGCGAGGCGCGAGCGCGCGCCGATTCGTCTGAGGCCCTTCCGAGGGGTCTCGGCGAGGCGGGCCGACGGGGCGGCGTAGTAAGATCGATGAATCCGAGGCCCCTGAGGGGGGGCTCGGCGAGATGGAGTGGTCGGTCCGCGATTCCGAGGCTGAGAACCCGCTTCGACTCCCCGTTATGATGTCCTTGGTGTAGGAGTTAGGCAGCGACCACGGTGGTCGGTAACCCCGCTGTGCGCCGTCTCGGATGGCGGGGGGGTTGACGCGACCGGCGTGTAGCCGGTCACTTCACCGCTCTGCGCCCATCGTCGTCTGTCGGAGTGGTTGGGCGCTGGATGTGGCGTTCGGTCGAGCGGTTTGGTCAAAAAAAGCGGTCACGAGGTTGGTGCCGAGCCGCCTCATGTGAATCGGAGAATCGGCACTTCTTCCGAGGCCCAGGAGAGGGGCCTCGGCGCTGGGGCCTCGGCGGTCGGTCTCGGCGAGTCGGAGAACCGTTTGCTTGCTTTGGGGCTCGGCGACGGGGTCTCGGGCGAATCGGAGATTTCGGCCGAGACCTCGCTTGTTTATTCCGTTGGTTCTGCTTTTTAGGGTCTAAGCAGGTTTCTCGATCTTTGCTTGGGGTACCCCATTTTACGGTATCCGACGGTAGCCCGAGGCTCGGGCGAGAGTGTGGATACTCTCCCAGGTTTTTTTGAGACTTTTGTTTCTCGATTGGCTTTTGTCGGGTTTATTTTATACTCATGATTACTGGTGGGTGCTTGCGCGGCTCTCCGGCGGGTGTAGTAACTCCGAGGCCCTAGAGGAGTGAGTTTACTCCTTTAGGGGCTTTTTCTTCGTTGAGTAAGGCGCTCTATCGCATTTGCTTGACCCATGAGAGCGAGCTCGGGTAAACTTGTTTGGGGTGCGGGAGGAGCACCCGAGCTTGCCGAGCCCTTGCGTGCGATCCTAGGTCATTGGTCTCAACAAGGTTTGCGGGAAGAGCCCCCGAGCCTCCGCACGGGGCGAGAGGCGGTCAGGAGTTCTTCCGGCTTTTTTTATGCGACCCTCGCTTCCTTTTTCGCTCGGAAGGAGGGGTTGTTTGCCGAGCCCTTGGCGTGCGAGCCTAGGCCCCAGGTCTCGTCAAGTTTGCGGAAGAGCCCCGAGCCTCAGCAGCGGAGGCGAGAGGCGATCGAGGAGTTCCCCGGCTTTTATGCGACCCTCGCGCTTCCTTTTCGCTCGGAAGGAGGGGTGGAACATGCCAGGCTACCCTCGGTGGGGCATGCGATGACATTTCCGGTGAGCTTTTATCGAGTAAGTCCGAGTGGAGGCCCGTGCCCCATTCGATAGGGGTCGGCTAGTGGTCTAGAGGCGCGCTCCAAAAAAAGTACGAAGAAGGCTTCTCTAGCGGGTGCGGGGCCGTTCGATTGGCCCTAGGGGCTCGGTGCCTCCCTCACGGTGGGATCCCTTTAGAGAACTCCTGCTGGTCTCGGACACGACTCGGGGCATCCCAAGCAATCGCTTGCACAGGCCTCGGCCATGTATGGGCTCGCCCATAGTTGTCCCCGACTTCACAGTAAATCCCGAGGCGGGTGTCCGAGACCATAAACGGCCCAGCCTTGAACCTCTGGACCGTGGCGGGCTCGGTGCCCTTTTTCGTCGTGTTTTCCGATCCTCGGGGTGTACTTCTCGGCAAGGTTTGCGGGAAGAGAGCCCCGAGCCTCCTGCACGTAGCGAGAGGCGTCGGGAGTTCCCCAGCTTTTGTGCGACCCTCGCGCATCCCTTTCGCTCGGAAGGAGAGGTTGTTTGCCGAGCCCTTGGCGTGCGAGCCTAGGCCAGCCCGGGTCTCGGCAAGGTTTGCGGAAGAGCCCCCGAGCCTCCACACGTGGCGAGAGGGCAATCAATCGGGAGGTCCCCGGCTTTTTAGTATGACCCTCGCGCATCCCTTTCGCTCGGAAGGAGGGGTTGTTTTGAGCCCTTCGCGTGTGAGCCTAGGCAGGGGGTCTCGGCAAAGTTGCGAAGAAGAGCCCCCGAGCCTCCAGCGTGGAGGCGAGAGGGCGTCGGGAGTTCCTCGGCTTTTGTATGCGACCCTCGCGCTTCCTTTTCGCTCGGAAGGAGGGTGGAACATGCCGGCTACCCTCGGTGGGCGCGAAGCGGTGACATTTCCGGTGAGCTTTTATCGGGTAAGTCCGAGTGGAGGCCCGTGCCCCATTCGATAGGGGTCGGCTAGTGGTCCAGAGACGCGCTCCAACAAAGTACCGGAAGGCTTCTCTAGCGGGTGCCAGGGCCGTTCGATTGTCCCTAGGGGCTCGGTGCCTCCCTACGGTGGGATCCCCTTTAGAGAACTCCTGCTGGTCTCGGACACGACTTGGGGCATCCCAAGCAATCGCTTGCCTGGGCCTCGGCCATGTACGGGCTCGCCCATAGTTGTCCCTCGACTACATGCGTCCCCGAGGCGGTTTGTCGAGACCATAAATGGCCCAGCCTTCGAACCTCTGGACCGTAGCGAGCTCGGTGCCCATTTCCTTAGCTCGGAAGGAATCGGCTGGGGGTATTTCTCTTCCATCGGCTAACAACGCCCGGCGCGTCTTTTGAGGCGGTCTTCTCGAGAGCTGCCGTTGCTGCGCGACGTGGTGTCAGTGGATGGGACATAACCGTCTGCGCGATTAAATGTGGAGAAGGTGGGCACGTGGGCGGAGATATCGGATCTGGATTATATCGCGCCGGATCCGAGGGAAACTTCCCGATTTCGTCGCCCAGTGGTTTCATCTTACCCTGCGCCAAATCGTAAAGAGCCTCGCCCCTCCCTCCTTACCTTGCACGCATTTGCTTTCGCCGCTTCCAAGCCGTTCTTTGAGGCGTAAAGTGCCGGGGAGAAGAAGGCGAGAGATCGATTGAAAGAGAGAGAGATTTACCGCCGTG